GGTACGAGCCCCGACACAAAGGGGGAGCGCAGCCTGAACTGGTATTTGCTCATTACGATGCCGATGCTGCAGAGGGTGTCAGGCTGGATGTTCCCCTCTGCCAGCACAGCCGGGGCTCAGGCAGCTCCAGCGCCAGGGCCGGGGGGATCGGGGAGCCCGTGGAGCCCCAGCCGCGCTCCCACTGCGCCGGCTGTGTGGGAGTCGGGAGCAGGACGGGGCTGGGAGCACTTCGTGTGTGTAGGGGGACTGATCCTGCACTAACAAGAGCCCCAGCCTTGTGTGTGTGAGGGGACTGATCCTGCACTAACAAGAAACTTGTAGCTTGGGGTTATTCCTGCTGAGCAGTGGGAATGAGGTTTAAGCAGAGCTGTATTGATGTGATGTGGGCCATGTAAATCTCCTCCTTTCTCCTCTCCATGCTTGTCTCCTGTTCTTTGGCGTTGCTGTGCAGGACAAAAGAGCCCTGGTGATCCCCAGCTTCCCAGAAGCTGTTGGTGAACTCTCTGGTGCTCTGGCTGCTCTGAGTGCAAGACAAGGCTGTCCCGGCTGCAGAGGCCCTGCAGCCTCTCTGGCAGCGTGGGCACAGCTCGGGCAGAGGGAGCACGGCTGATGAGATGAAGTGACTTGCTCCACATCACCAGGGGACCCCCAGACAGCCTGGCAGTCAAAACAGGCCCCTCCAACTCTACTTGCAGTATCTCTACACACCAGAGCATCCTTCTGGTGGCTGAAGAGCCCCTCACAGCGCCGCGGTGCCTGTGCCACGGGCGGTGCTGTGCCTGCTGCTGGTGAAGGTGGTTTTGACTCAGGAACCATCTGTGAGGTGGTGATGGGAGTGGTGGCACCTGTGGCACTGCCCTGGCTGTGTGGGAGTGGGCACCCCACTGTGGCAGGGTCCTAGTCTGCCCATCAGAGTCCTGCTGGTCCAACCCCAGCATTAGCCTGGGTTTAACCTCTGTGGCGTGGGATACAATCACCTTGTTTTCCTTGTTTCAGTGCGTGCAGGGGCTCAGGGAGCGAGCCCTTTGCCCGGGTAAGCTGCTTTCGTGTAATTCTGCTGCCGAGTGCCGTCCCCGGCGTGTGCAGCCGCAGCTGCGACACCGATCCCCGTGCACACAGAGCCGGGGCTGTGGGAACGGCCCTGCCAGCCAGGGGAGGGAGGTGGATCTCGTGGCAATGGTGGCGTCATCTCAGCTATATTTTACTGAGGCTGACGTAAAACCGCTCAAGTGATGGCAAAGGCATGAAATATAGTTGTTTGAGTGGGTAAAAAAACCAAAATACAGAACACGGGAGCACTGACATTTGATGTCTGCAGTCTGGCTTTTTAGTAGTATTTATGCCTTCTGCCTATTCTTCTACAGTATTTTAATCTTTTTATGCTTTCAGTCACTTTCTCTGGACAGAGTTGCTCTCATTGCTGGAGTACTGTGGCAGAATGTGCTGGGCTGAGCTCTGTGGAGCCGCCTGCCCACAGGCCTGGGCAGCTTCTGCAGCTGAACAAGACTTGGGGTCAAAGGAGGTTTTTCCTAGAATCACAGAATAATTTAGGTTGGAAAAGACCTCCCAGATCATCAAGTCCAACCTTTGACCGATCCTCACCTTGTCACCCAGCCCAGAGCACTGGGTGCCACCTCCAGTTGTTCCTTGGACACCTCCAGGATGGCGACTCCACCACCTCCCCGGGCAGCCCCTTCCAGTGCCCTTTCCATGAAGGAATTCTTCCTGAATTCTTCTTTTTGGTGTCACCAAGGTGTGTTGGAGGATGTGTCCCGTGCCATGGGATGTCAGGTGTCTGGGCTGGCATCATTTTGGTGCCTGTTGGTGCACATTAACCAGCAGATGAATGGAGTGGGATGACTCCTTTTTTCCAGCAGATGAATGGAGTGGAACGACTCCTTTTTCCCAGTCGATGCCAAAGGAGGATTTTTCACCTGAAGGTCTCAGCTTCCTTTTATGCTGGCACTTGTCTTGGAACCTCTTGTTTGGGGGCATCTGTTTGCCTCTTACTTTATTTTTTTCCCTCTTCTTTGTCTTTTCTTTTACAGAAAAGATTATTCAAATGAATATTCAGTTTTATTCATTTGAATAAAAAACCCAACCGTTTGACTCTGTTAAATGCTTATCTCTTAAATAGAGCTTGTTAGCTTCCAATAATAGCTTCATTCAGAAGGATGCAGTATAATTTCATTTTAAAACGTGTGCTCCTTGACAACCGGAATCCTATTTCTGTCACCGTTTTCAACAGCCGCCTTTGTTTTGGGTTAATCTTTTTCATACACTTTCTGAGAACGATTTTTTTGTTGGCTCTTAGTCCCTCTCAGAAGAAATAATTGTCTATTTAGTCCAGGAAGGGTTCTGAGAGTTTTGGTAATTTAAAAATGAGTGTGTGTATTCATTATGGGAACTAATAAGTCATGTGTGCAGGGGGATCTTTGTGTGGGTGTAGTTATTAAAAGTTGGAATCTGATATCCATGAAGTGAAACAAGAAAAGAATCATGGAATGGGTTGGGTTGGAAGGGACCTTAAAGCCCATCCAGTTCCACCCCCTGCCATGGGCAGGGACACCTTCCACTGTCCCAGGTTGCTCCAAGCTGTGTCCACCCTGGCCTTGGACACTTCCAGGGATGGGGCAGCCACAGCTTCTCTGGGCAACCTGTGCCAGGGCTAAGGTCTCCCTTAAAGGACCTTTTACCCATCACTTTTATGAACTTTTTAACTCTGGGTTGTATGATCTCTTGGGGGTTGTTCATTTGGGGAGCAATGGCATCTCTGGAATAGCATCCTGTGGGATTTAAGTGCCTGTTTACCTGCAGATGGAAATCCTCTGGTTGTCCCCTGTAAGTTAGAGGAGTTGGGAATCAGACATAAGATGTTGTGAGCCTTCAACTCTGGATGCAGAGCCCTGTATGGGCACCTGACCCTGCAAACCCCTTCCCTTCCAGAGAGGATGGAATGGGAGGTGGTAGTAGGTTATTTCACATTTCCAGTCTAACCAAGTGCCACAGATCTTTTTAGAAACCTGCAAGTGCCTGCTGACACCTACAGATTGTTTTTTTATTGTTACAAAATCTGGAAATGCAGGGAGCTGGCTGGCTCTGTGGTTTAATGAGACAAATGATTTTTTGACAAACCTGTGTTTAAGGCATATGGAGTGGGAGGAGAATGGGAAACTCGTTTCTGAGTCCAGACGTGTAATGACTGCAGTGGATTTCCTTGCAGTGTTTGGCATATTAGGGCTAATCTCCTAAATTCCCTCTGCCCTCCATCCTGGCACCGAGACCTGACACAAGTTGCAGGAGAAATCCTCAACTGCAGCCCTCGCTAATGACTTACTAATGATGAAGATGCTGCTGGTGCTCAAACAATTAATGACTTGTAGCCCTGGCCTGGCCATCTCATGGCACCAGGCAGTCAGTCCCCAGCCACACACAGCTCCCAGCTCCAGGAATTGCTCCGGGAATTGCTCCAGGAATTGCCCGGTGCAGCGTGCACCAGGATTCCTGGGATGCCGAATTCAGCCAGTTAACCACAAAAATTTTAGTTTTAACTACGGGTCTGTTTAAGGTGGATTTAAATGGAGTAATTTAGAAGGCAAATGAAAGACTTATGTAAAAAAATTCAGGCTGCTGCCTGCTCTAAGTGCAAAGCAAAGCAGTGTTCTGAGCCTGGTGTTCTGTCAGATGATGTGTTATGCCTTGGAGAAGAGCTAGAAACCATTCCTGGTGGGTTTTCCCCTGTGTATTCCTGAAGGACCCATCCAGGAGCTGCTCAGACCTCACTCTGAAATGCTTCCCAGCATTGAGTACTGTAGCCTGCAAAGTGTCTCCTGTACCTGGAGGTTGCAAGAAGCCTCTTTATATTTTTAACACTTTCTACTGTGCCCCACCGAAGCAAATTCAGTGTGTGTTCAGCAGGATGCAGTTTTTAGTGCAATTTGGGGGAATGGAGTTCATCCTGTTATTACATTTTTGAGATTTCATTAGCTTAATTTGTGTCAGTGTTGACTCATCAAGCCTTCGCCAGAGAAATGTAGCACATGAGACTGGGGTTTGTTCATTAGCTTGATTTTTTTTTTCCTTAAGGAAGGAGCAGGGAACAGGACAGTGTGTAGCTGTGGTGGGCTGCCAGATCCCTTCAGTGCAGCCCCAGCAGAGCAGACAGTGAACAGCTACAGGCAGGCAGCAGGCATCAAACAGCCTAAACCAGCCCCAATCCGTGGCTCTTTGAAGCACCAGCGGAGAAGAGAGGAACGATTAGATCAGAGGCCTTAAATGTAATGGGTTCCTGGAGGCCTCAGGATGTCCTGATGAGGTATTAGAGGAAGTAATTCAGGAAGAAAGGGACAAATAACCACCTCCGGAGCTGGGCTGACCGGCGGGGCCGGGTGGGGTGTGTCGGAGCACGTGGAAACAAAGTGCTGCTGTGTGTTTGGGAAGCACTGGGGGTTTTTTTCCTTGCCAGGGGTAAATGAGGAATCATCTTCTGTCTTCCCGGATTTTTATGGTTTTTTGGGTCGTGTAATGAGTCAGCTCTAATGGAGAAGTCCCGTGGAATTAAACAAGAGATGAAATCAATATGGTTCCATAGAAATATAATTGGGTTTTGTGGAGATTGCTCTTAAAACCCTATAAGGTGTAAAAGAAAATACAGCTTTATTGTAGTTTCTGAGCCATCATGTAGCTGGGGTGTAACTATCCATTAAATTCTGCAGGATGGATCAAAAAATCCATAAGGCGGTTTTAATTCTCCATTAAATCCTATGGAAGAGCTGGAACAGAACCGTATTAATTTTCCCTGAGACAATGCTTCTTCCCTCCATTAGTCTGCAATCAGCTCAGGAACAGCTCCATAGGCAGCAGGTGTAGTCACACGTGCGTGTTGTTATGGAAGTTTTCCAAAGTCCCAATGGCTAAATAAAGCTTTATTAAAATGAAATTGTTAAACTTAACTAATGTTTTTCCTTCCCTCTTCCCCTTTTTGTATCTTTATTAAATAGGATTTGGCTTCGTAACTTTTGAAAATGAAGACGTGGTGGAAAAAGTCTGTGAGATTCATTTCCACGAAATCAATAATAAAATGGTAAGTTGATGGTGTGTTGGTGACAGTGAGTTCTCACCTCGGGTCACAGACATGAGCTGTGTCTGAGGGGGATTGTGGCCCTCTGGGAGGTTAGTGGGGTGCTGGGGTGGTGAGAACAGGGTGGTGCTGAGCCTGGCCCACGGCTGGCCCAGCCCCTGCTCCTGTCCCCCGCAGCAGGACGGGTGTCTGTCCCCATGGCACAGGCTCAGGCAGCCGCCCCAGAGCACCTTTTGGTGTGGGAAGGCAAAGGGCTGAGTGTGGTGGGAGTTGAACTGCTCAGATTCTCGAGCAGCCCTGGAGCAGCCTTTCTCCTCCTCCTCCTCCTACCCATGGTTGGAGCCGAGGCAGCTGCCGAGCGATGGCATCGGGGGGGTTTGGGAGGGAAGTGCCCTGGGGTGGCTGTTCCAGCCCATGTGCTCCCAGAAGTGCTGTTCTGGCTGAGCTCCCGGGTCTGATCCTGCTCTGACGTGGCTGCTGCCTCTGGCCCGTGTCCCGGGAAGTCGTGGCTCTCTGCCATGGAGCCGCAAACCCTTCTGACCCAGGAGCCAGACCTGGGTGAAGTTCCTCCTCAGTGACAGACAGGTCCCAGGTTGTGGGTTGCCCTGTCAGTAAAGCCACTGAGCCAGATGAAAAGGGGCATTTGTATTTCAATTGCTGCAGTAACTTTGATATTTTCAGCTAAAATATTCTTTTTCCCTTTGTCAAAACATCCTTTGCTTCTCAAATGTGTATTCAGATATGCATTGTATATTGGTCTGATATGTGTTCACAGACTTTAAATTCAATAATAGAGCTTTTAGTGTGGATAAGATCAAAGCAATCTCCTTGGCATATGCTGGAGGCCTGATTCAATATTTGACTTGCTAATTTTTCCCAGGGCACTGAAATAATATTCCTCATATTGTTCCTCAGTGCAATATGCATCTGAAATAAAAGTGAGGGTCCCCTCGGCCAGCTGTGGGGTGGGGTGGTGGGGCAGGTCTGGGGCAGTGCTCCTGGTCCTGTGGGAAACCTCTTGCTCCACTTCAGGTGGATGCCTCATCTTCAGGTGGATGCTGTGGGCTTTGTCTCTGCCCTGTTTGAGCATCTTGCTGCCCGTGAGCCCCCTCCTGCACTGGGGTCTCCTGCCTGCCCCAGCTACACCTCACCTGAGCTGCCTGCGGGGTGAGGGAAGGCTCATTCCTCTTTATATAGTTACTGAATGCTGATTAATCTGCCTTAAAGTTTAAAAAAAGAGCAAACCCCAACCACCCGCAGACGACAGACCCAGCAACAAATTAGGAAGTACTTGGGATGTAAATTTAGGGATTGGCAGGTGGGAGGGAAGAGCTCCAGCGCCACACTCCAGGGTTTTCCTACCCACAGCAGGTGGGCACGTGTCGTATCAATCTCCATAGATTTAGTTATTCCCACAATACTTTTCTCTGGAGTAGGGCTCGGCCTTTGCCTGGCTCAGGATTGCCTCTCTGGGGTGCTGGGGGGGTGATGGATGGGGCAGCAGGTGCTGGTGTGTCCTGGTGCCAGCAGCAGGGCAGGGCACAATGTTTGATGCTTCATCCCTGGGTCTGTACCCACGGACTAGAAAAGCCTCACCTGGTTCTTGGTATCCCCTGGGAGGAGGGGTGGGGGAGAGCTGTTGAGAGGATCCCTTCCCAGGCAAAAGGCTGCATGCACGTGACAGCAGCACGGGGAGTGCGGAGGATGGGACAGGGTGAAAACACTCAAGGAGCATCACAAAGAGCCAGAGAAGCAGTGTGGGCTGTTGGTATTTGTTGTTGGATAATTAAAATACCTCCTGCTTGCTCGGTGCACGCTCCAGGTGCCACCATGCTCTGAGTGTTCTCTTCTTGTCACTCCTTCAGCACTAATTTTGAAAGCAGCCCACGAGCAAGGGGATGAGACATGATCCTGTTTTGGGACTGAGTCATCGTCTTGCTGATGTGTCTGCACATGAATTGCCAGACCCACGCAGGGGCAGGGGAGCTCGTGTGTGTGCGTGTGACAGGAGCTGGGGCGGCTGGCCCGGGTGCCCGGGGTGACACACGGCTGGCCAGGGGCAGCATCGGGCACGGATGTACTTGGATCATGTCCCCCTCTAGCCTTGAGCTGTGGAGGGGACGGGCTCTCTCAGCCCCAGCCCGAGGTGGTGGGGTTTGCACCATTCTGTGACCTGGGCCTGGGACACCCCATCCTCATCCCCATCCCCAGGCTGCTCAGCTGGGGCATCCACGGCTCCGTGGGCACCGACTCACCCTGAGCTTGCTCTTCCTCATCTGCTGACCTCTGTCATTTCCCAAAATGCAGGGGCAAGCAAAGGGCAGGGGGGTGGCTGCTCCCCAGCCTATTTCCAGCTCCTGTCTCCCTGGCAGGCTATTTTTAGCTCATCCATTCTACTTCTGTTGCCATCCGTAAAGCTTAGAATGTCAACTGTAATATTAAACGAGCAGTGGGGAAGTGAAAAGAAAATGCCAGGGAGGTATTTAATAACTGAAACTCGGAATTTACGTGGGAGGCCAAAGATGCTCCAAACATTGCGGGGGGGACAATAAACCCAAACAAGCTGTCCCTGGATTATTGCTCCTTTGACAGGAGCAGGCAGCTTTGCAAAGACACCTGGTTTTCTAACATGGTGCAGAAGTAGCTGGAAAAGAAATGTGAGAGAGTAATTTATTTTCCCCTAGGTCCCGCTGTGCTGGAGTCGTTCACCTCACGGGTACAGCGGGACACACGCTGGTGAGAGGGGCAATGAGCCAAGCCTGGAGTCGGGCTCTGGAGCAGCTGACAGAAATGTTGGGCTGTTCTAGAACAGGCTCTGACACTGCCCAGCACCTGTGGCTCTTCGTCTCTCTCAGGGTGGGATTTTGTGGGGTTTGTGTTTCTTTTGTTGTGGGGTTTTTTTAGTGCATTGGTGCTCCTCAGGCTTCTCCCCGAGCTGTGTGGTGCCATTTCAGGTGTGTCTGTCACGTGCCACGTGCCTTTGGGTTTGCATCCAATACTCACCCCCATCCCTGTGATCAGATTGGTTTAGTGTTGTCTTCAGCAGGCTTTAAATGATGAGACTTCCCTTGTGGGGGTCTCCAAGGCTGGGTTCTCCATCCTGCATGGGACAAGAGGGAGCTTTCCCTCTGTAATACATCCATCCGTCTGGATGTATTTAGGGACTCATCTGCCCACCCACAGCTGGTGACTTCTCTTGCAGTCTGAGGAGGTGCCAGACCATTGGCCCCACCCCACCTTTGTCAGTCACAGACTGGTTTGGGCTGGAAGGGCCCTTAAAGCTCATCTCATTCCACCCCCAGCCATGGGCAGGGGCACCTCCCACTAGCCCAGGTTGCTCCGAGCCCCATCCAACCTGGCCTTGGACACTTCCAGCAATGGGGCAGCCACAGCTTCTCTGGGCAACCTGTACCAGGGCCTGTTCCAGTTCATCTGGTTCCAAGCCCCAGCCATTGGTCAATGATCTGACACATCAACAGACCCACGGTCTAAGGCATTTTCTAAAATAAGCTTATGACCTCTCTGCTGCTGCCTGGTGCAGCTTGCCATGGTGTGAGTGACATGGTGTCCCCAAGGTGAGCAAACCCCAACAAGCTGCAAATCACACGTTTCTGGCATGACAAAGTCGCCTTGTCTTTGGGTGGTTCAATGGGGGTTTGTGCATTGTGGATATTGCACATTCTGCTTTCCTGAAAATAGCCCTGGTTTCCCTGGAAAGCTGTTAGCCAGGGTTTGTGAGACATCCTGGGCTGAGAGCTGACAGCCTGTTTTGTTGGCTGGGTATAAGAGGCTTTTCACTCCCCAGCTCAGCCCTCCTGGGTTCCCATGGCTGCGACTGCTCTGCTTGACCCAGGAGTACCCCAGTGTAAGGTTAATTCTCCAAACTAGACTAAACAAAAATAGTGAATTTTAGTTTCCCTGCCTTTTTTTCTTCTTTTTTTTTTTAGCCTAAGAGTTAAACCTTTCTTTGTTGGGCTGCTGAAAGTGCAGCACATCCTCATACAGGAAGGTGGAAAAAATCTGGAAATTATTAAGGTGCCCAGAAACACTGAACTGAAAGTTTGAGTGAGGTCCAGATTTATATACAAAGACCCTCATCGGGCAGCTCTCAGGGGTGATTCGATAAGGAGCTGAGCCCTGACTCATAAATCCACATACATTCCCTCTTGGAGAAGCCCCATTGCACATCCTGGCACATGTGACATCCCTGCTGCCTCCGGGGTTTCCCCTCACAGTAACTGTGCCTATGGGGTGCTTATGGCCACCTCCACCCCTTCCCCATGAAAGACAGGGCTGGATTCTGGCAGAAGAGCAGCAAACCCCCTTTTTTTCTGCTTTTGCTGCTGGTGACAAGGCACCATCCAAGCCCCCCACCACTCACGTGGTGCTTCACCTCCTCTTCCTATATTGTCCCAGTTTGCTGGGCTGATGCGTGGGCAGCTTCCCAGAGCACCTCCTGGTCTGGCACTGCTGTCAGGGGAGTGTAACAGTCTCCCCAAGGTGAGCTGCCAGGACTGGAGTCAGGCAGTCTCTTCCCCCAGGACAGCTGATCGGGGCCAGGCTCCTGGTCCTGTATCCTGCATGTCATCCCTCCTGTGGGGAGAGAGTCTCTGCTGGGTAACAGAGAATATTCTCGCCCTCCATATGGGGTATACTTGTTTACAGAGGCTTAGAAATTACTTTTCCTTCCTACTGGTGACTTTTTCTTCCCCTTTAAATCCGGGTTAAAACTCCTCTGCAGCTCACTGCCATTCCCTTTGTACCCTCGTGTGCTGTGGAATCAGAAGCGGTGCCAGGCTTGCAGAGAGCAGCAGTGGACTGGGTTGTGGTTGCAAAAGCTAATTACCGGGTTATTGTTTCTAACAGTGCTAATCCCAACTTCATTTTCCTGTTAATTGTCCATCCATCCGGACTAGATGGGTTTTGTCATCCTGGCTGTGCAGTGCCGGTGGCTGCGAGGTGTAACCAGTGCTGCCGTGACGGTGGGAGCTGTGGCCATCCCAGACGATGGGGCTGTGAAATGTAGTGGCACTTCTGGTGCTCCCCCATCATCTGAGCGGAGGAGTCAGATTGGCAGACTCCTGTGCAATGATCCCCTGTTTAAAAATCAGCAAAGGAGCGTTTGGGAGGATGTTGCAGTGCTGGTGTGGGGGCGGTGGGAGGCTGGGGCTGGTGCTCAGGATTCTGAGCTCCCCGTATCCCTGCGTTCTGGGAGTGATTCACAGAATCACAGAATGGTTTGAGTCAGAAAGGACCTTAAAGTTTATCTTGTTCCAGCCTCCTGCCATGGGTAGGGACACCTTCCACTGTCCCAAGTTGCTCCAAACCCTGTCCAACTTGGCCTTGAACACTTCCAGCAATGGGGCAGCCACAGCTTCTCTGGGCAACCTGTGCCAGGGCCTCACGCTGGATGGGGAGGAGAGGCAGGGCAGGCTTTTATCTGGGGGGCTTTCTGAGAGCACTGAGGTTTTGAGAGGGGTACAGCCCAATTAGGGCTGTTTCCTTTGTGCAGCAGTGTTCGGGCTGTGCCTACCCACCTCTGCTCCAGCATCCTCATCCCTCTCTGCCCTTTTCCTGCTGCCTCCTGCCAGCACCCAAACACTTCTTGGCAGAAAAGCAGCAAAGAGAAGCTCCAGGAGAATTTTGCTCCACAAGTCCCTGGGTTGGGGCAGCCTGGCGTGTGTTCTGACAGCACAGGCAGAGTGTGAGTGTTGTAGCTTTGGGAAGTGTCGCAAGGAAGCAAAGCAAATGGGATCTGTGGAGGTTGGCAGCAGGAAGGGGAGAGGAGTAGGTGGGTTTGTTTAAAATCCTCCTGTTCCAGCCAGGTAACCTTTCTGAAAATTGCATAAACCTGGGATTGTCTCTGGTGGGGTTGCCTAGGAACAGGCGGGCAGTTTTCCTAAGACGATGGACACACAGTCCCTGCTCGGGCTGTTGGGCACCAGGATGGTGAGCCATGTTATCCCACATCCTGGGTTTGCCTGGAGCAGCTTCCTGCTCACATGGGACACCTTGTGCCAGAGGTGGAGGGATTGGGAGACCTGGAACCAACTTTCCACAACAAATAGCCCCTTCCCAAGCCCCTGCATGTGGCTGTGCCACCATGCCTGCTGGGAGTGAGGTCCTGGATTGCAGCAGCCCTGCTCCCACTCTGGAATGGCCAGGCAAGGGCTGGAGGGAGTGTAAACATGCAAAGAAGATCAAGGAACTGGTTGAAAAACAAAGTTAGAGTCACAAAGCTCAAACCTGTGGATTCAACCCTCAGACAAGTGATGCTCATGGTGCAAACTGTGCAGGTGGGGCGTCCCCACCCCCCAGGCAGCTCTGGGCTGTGTGGCTGCACATCATCCTATTGCTCAGAGCGTGGGCTGAGGTGTAGAGCCATAGGAATGGGTTCAGCCAACTCCAGTTAGCTTCAAACCAGCTGACTGGTGCGACTGTAGCACCGGTGCTAAGGGGACCATGGGGGCAGTCAGCTGGAGGGGTGAGTTGGCATTGCTAGAAACTGTGGAAAATTGTTTTATTTCTCCCTTTTCCTGACCAGAAAGAGGGTGGCTTAGGGTGCTGGATGGCCTACATGTCCCGCTGCCTGCAGAGCTGGATCAGCATCTCACGCAGGGATTGCTGTGCGGTTCTAGTGGCGCTAAGCAACTTCCGAAGGCAGCGGGAGTAGCTGGAAGAATGCAGATCCTTTATTAATAGGGTTTACAGAAATTTTCTGCTGGGTAGAAATATTGATTCTTTATTCCTATTTTAAAAGGAGCTTTTTGTAATGATCACTGGGAGTCGTTTTCCGTTATCGATTGCAAGGGAGCCGTACCGGAGCCCTCCCTCCATTCATCCCGACCCACGAGTGCCGGTTTTCCTTTCAGGAACGCGGAACTTCTTAAATCAGCATTTCTGTCATCTTTGGGGGGGTTGCACTTGGTGGTTAAAGAGACATGCACGTTTGCTCTTTTAAATCTGGTTACGCCGTTCTGAAAGTTCACCTCTGAGGGGGAGGAGATGTGGGGAAGGCAAACACTAAAAATAAACCTCCCCCCCTTAAGTAGATCAGTTCTGCGTTTGACATTTACATGGAATTCATTTGCATCTCATTTGTACGTGTTTCTGCTCAATAGGTAGAATGTAAGAAAGCACAACCTAAAGAAGTGATGTTTCCACCAGGGACGAGAGGAAGGGCACGTGGATTGCCGTACACCATGGACGCTTTTATGCTGGGGATGGGAATGTTGGGTAAGTGCCGGAGCCACCGCGCAGCTCCCGGGGCCGGCGGCTCCCGTGTTGTCTCCCTGATTCCCAAACCCTTAAAACCGTAGGGGTGAGCCAACCCCTGCACCTGCGTGGGTGCAAGGCTGAAACTTTTAGCAGGGGTGGAGTGGAGAAAATAATCCTGTCTGTGGTAAATGATTAACTCCCCCCTGCCTGGAATATAAAAAATTTGCATTTAAATGGATGTTTTAAATAGCCTGTTTTACTCTTACTCGCAAAAATAGAATGATGAAAGATGCAGCGTGTTCATCCTGACTAAAAATGATCTCTCCCCTTTTTTAGAGGAATTGAGTCACACATTATTCCCCTTCTTTTAAAGGTAGCTTTGACAGTTCAGCATAGATAATTGAAAATCTTGCTGGTTCTTAAATGACATGGATGGAGGAAGCGGGGAGATGCGTAACAGGACAGGTCGCAACAATAATTACAAGTTTCAAGGAGATGGAATGGTATTTTAGTCCTGAGTATTGTGTCCAGAAAATACTAATTAAATGGGATAAATGATATTTAATGGCAAAATTCTATTTGTGTGCAAGGTCTATTTAGTTATAATTGGTTCTCATTTGTTTCTGCCTAGATAGTTGTTCTTTCTATATAATGTGACAACCTCTGGATATTCTCTCCTCAGCCAAAATGCTGCCAATCCATTACCAATGTTCTTTTGTAAAACCCCATGTATTTTCAACTTTCTGCTTTGTGTCCCTGGACTTCCCCTCCGTTGTCACATCCTGTGTCCATAAAACTTGTGGGAATAAGGGGGCATCTGGGGGTGTCCCCTGGCAGCAGAGAGCCTTTCCCAGGCTCACGTCCCTGGTGTGTAGCCTCTCTGGGACGCTTTGAATTTTCTATCCTGTGTTTAGATGATCCCACAAACTGAGCACAAAACCCAGCCTTGGAAGCTGGGTTGCCCTGAGCTCTGCCAGGCAGGTCTGGGGACTGCCTGAGATGCTGGAGGACCCCAAAGCTCCTGAGGTGGACATCAGGTCAGAGGACTTGGTTCCTGTGAGGATCAGGCTGTTGTGCTGAGGTGTCTGACTCCAGGCACCGCTTGATTTGATAGGAAAAACTCCCTGCCATGTTTGCTTTATCTCTGAATTAATAGTACTTCTGTTTGTGTGGCTGGAGCGATCCATTTCTGGGACGTGTAATTGGGTTATTTCAGCTGATCATCTGTTTTGCTGTCCCCACGCTCCACCGCCACCCTGCCCCACAGTGTTGGGAAATTACATTTTCTGCTTAAAATATTTATCTTGCTCTAGTCAGTCCATGATTTCGTTACCTGTGTGTTCGCAGTGTGCTCGGGCAAATGTACTTGATTTCTGCTGTTCCTCTTCCTTTTCCACCTGTGTGCCCCGGGTTGGGGTGCGGGAGGTGGTGGGTGCCACCGTGCTGGCCAGTCCCCCCAGCTGCAGAAGGAGGGAGGCCATGCCACCCTGGGAAGCCAAGAAGATCCACAGTGTCATCATCCCTCTTGTGCCCACCACGTGGCCTCAGCCCTTCTCCTTGCAGCCGGGCAGGGGGTGAATGGAACCACGCTCACCTCAGTGTCCTGAAGGGATAAATTGAGCCCTCGGGTGCAGCGGGAATCATTCCCACTGGAGCTGCCTCTCTGGGAAGTGATTGTTTCCAGCTGTGGGAAGTAAGGGAAGAAGCCCTCAGCAAGTGGACCTGCACAGAGGAAGAGATGGGGCACCTGTTGGCAGGCCCTGTCCTGCTGCAGGGGTGGGTCTGGGCCAACCCAACCGGTGCTGCTCCGGCGGGCCTCGCACCACACCCTCCCTGCATTTCAAATTGGGGTGACTTGCTCAGCACTAGTGATTGATCCATGGTGAAAGCCAGATGTTTCATTATCCACTCTAGATGGTGTTTCATCTTCCCAGTTCCTGCTTGCTACAGTGGCACCGTGTTAAATAATTAAGTGCTAAACAAGGAGATTGCAGCGCAGGAGAGCAGAGCTGCCTGGATGGCCGTCAGAACCCCCCATTTCAAAGGCTGCAGGGCCCATCCCTGTGGGAAGAGGGGTGTAATTAACCCATCAAACGACAAGGCACAGAATCCCGTCGTGCCGGAGGCAGCGTCTGCCACAGCCGAGTGTTCTGCAGGGTCTCAGGAGGCCGGGTCAGCCCTATCCCTTTCCTCCTGTTCCGTGCCCAACTGGCCTGAACCAGAGCAAGTGGGGCTGCTCTGGAAGGATTTTTATACCTGTTTCCAGAAGCCCTTGTTCAAGGTCACCTTCTCCAGCTGCTGTTCACAGGCAGAGGAGGAATCAGAGGAACGAACGCACGAGACAACCCAAAGGAAGGAGCAGGGAGCGACTCCCTCCAAAGCTATTAAGGAAGTTGGTCTTTTTCATTAATCACAGCCTCCCCAAGGAGCCTACAGCAGCCGGGGTCTAAAGGTGCGCAGGCAGCCGCTTCTGTGATGATTTGGTTGATTGGAGCAAAATTAAAGTGTTCTTCTGAAAGGATTTTTTGACTCGGAGAGCGCGGGCAGGTTGAGCCTTCTGCCAGGAATGCTTCTGGGCTGTCTGGGGCTCAGGCTGCTCATTGGACACACACGATCTTGAGGAGAGCAGGGGCATTAATGAGCCTCTCTGCATGAAGAGTAGTCAGGACAGTTTCGGTTCCACTGACCTCCCTCTCTCTGTCAGCCCACCTTCCCTGTCAGGAAGAGCTGCTCCCCAGCCCTGGGGATGCTTGTGAACAGGTCCCGTGTCTCTCCCTGAACATGTCTGTGGCTCAGTGGGAGCAGTTTGGTGACCAGGAAGTTCACCCTGTGCCTGGAGCCTGACTGCTGTCACCTGGTCCTGGTGTGCAGACCAGGAGCCCTGTCACCCAAGGACTTGACAGTGTCACATGTTGCCCCATAGCTTTTTGCCCTCTGTTCAGGTCTGTGCCTGCAAACTCGAAAAGAAGAGAGAAAAGAAGAAAGCAACATTAAGAGGAGATGGTCTTTGTCTGCCCTCCCATCTGAAGCTGCTCTCTGGGACGGTGCAGCCACCATGGCAGTGGTCCCGGTGATGACACCCAGATCTGGATGTGACCCTGAGCTCGGGCCCCACAGCACTCATTTCTCCTGGCAGTGGGCATCTTTCTGGTGTTTAATGTTAAAATTGGGCTCCTTTAACTTGCAAATCCCTCCAGAGACAGGAGCACTCGTCCCCCAAAGCTTACACCCCTGGAGTGCTGGCGCGATGTCCGGTAGGATCACCGGGTTTCGGAAGGTCTCTGGCAGGGCTGTGTGTTCCTGCACACGCTCAGTCTAGGTAGGCTGAGCTCATGCATAAAAGAAGCTTGTGCCCTTCAAAGAAAGTCATTCCTTTTTCCATCAGACACTGTTGAGTGCAGCAGCAGCTGCCTGTGAGGCAGGATTCCAATGGGGAGCCCTTGGTTAGCACAGGCTGCCTCGGAGGCTGGCACGGTGCTCCGGCACCCGCCGCCGATGGGCACAGCTGCCATGAGTGTCGTGTCACTCCTTAGTCCTGTGAAGTAGGAGACAGGTCAGCCCAGGGCCAAGGGAGAAGCTTCTCCAGCAGATGTGTTTCCTCTCTGTAGCTACTCCCCAGGATGTGACCACCTGTGTGTCTACAGGGGATTATTTTTGGCTTTCATTCCTTCATGCTATAGGTGCTTTTATCAAGGTCACAGCACGTTTCTTTTGGGAAAGACCCTCAGGATTTTTGTTGCAGCGTGGGACTGTGCTTTGGTGGGAAGACCCTGCCTTCCTTTGCGAATGACCCGGGGTTCCTCAGAGCACTGTTTGGAGACAGTAATTTTCTTGCATTTACTAGAGCATTTCACTTAATTTTTCAGAGGTCCCTGATGTGCTCAGTGTTCCCACATATTGAGCATGAGCTTTGTGCATCTTGGATCACCAAATTTTAAAATGAAAAGACATTTCCATAGTCTGGGCAGGAGCCCAGTGGAAGTGGTGGTGTGAAGGTGGTTTGGTTGCTGGTTTGAGTTCTGCTCCCACGGGCAGGAGGGTCTTGCTTCAGAGGAGGTGATCCTGGCAAAACTTGGAATTTCGATTTACCAGCAGGGGATAGTTAGAGGGATTGGTCATTCCTCAGGACTACCAAAGCAAATCAACTGCTCGGTGCCCAGTGCAGGATGAGGATGGCACCTAATGGGAATGTTGGGTAGGTCAACATGGCCATGATTTGGCTCGATGAAGGATCCACATGGGCGTGGCATTAACGCACTATTGATATTCAACCAGGCAATTTCTCCGTGTGGATCAGGCTTCGAGTCGTTAGAGCAGAGCTGGGCACTGCAGCAGTAAATGAAGAGGAAAATTGAAGTAATGTTGTATTATAAATTTATGATTTCATCTGCCTGACTTAGGGAGCATTGAGCTCTGGTGGTGCCGGCAGAGCCCCCGGGCAGCTCGGCTGGTGCCGCAGCCATCGGGCACAACCATGTGTGGCCAGGGAGAGTGGGGCTGCAGCAGGACTGCCCTGGGGTGGAGGCAGGACCATCCTAGGGCAGGCAGCAGAAGAGGTGACATCCAAAACCACTATGGGCAGTTGCCATCTACCACCATGCCAATCCAGCCAGAGCCACAGGCACCAACCTGCAGACCTCAGGTGCTGCCCAGCACATCAGTCCCCTGCACCCTGACAGTCACGAGCTGACAGATCTGCTTCAGTACTGTCTGAATCAAAATAAAACCTGATTTTTTCACTTGGCAAGGAGAGGGGCTGCGCTCGGACGCCGCGGGGCGATTTTTCAGCAGTGGTGTTAATGGCGCTACTTACTTAGCAAACAATCCATTTATCAATAGGGTTGTTTAAAAAAAAAAGTAGAAAGGAAAAAAGGTTTGTAAAGCTTAACTCTGAAAGATCTGATTTAATGACAGAGGTGATTAGTTTCTAAGGGAATCCAGCCTGTAGAGCTGTGAAATAAATAGTCAAGGGCTAAGCGGTGTGTACATATCGCTGAGAGCGCGATGTGCTGTCCAGGCATCGCAAGGCTGCCTTTGCTTGGCACTGCTTAATCCCATAATCAGAATTCATCCAAGCATTTTTATCTTCCAGTTTTAGATTATGATTAATAGTACATTATATGTATGTATAAATCTGGTCGGAAATGGAGGGACTTGCTGCAGCAGGAAAATAGTCGTGTGATGGATGAGAGTATTAAAGGATAAATAAAAGCAGAGGTAGGAGCCCCCCAGAAGAGCCATTTGGCTGCTGAACGTGTTCTCAGCCTCCAGCCCAGCTGCTGCCAAGATTCCCACTGACTTCAGATAGTGGGAGCAAACTTTTCCTTTTCTTGATCTGGAGAGGTCTGGGCTGACACTGAGGATCAGCAGGGATGTTGCATTAAGTGCACTGGAATTGTAAAGAGCGGTGCCTGTTTTTAAGAAAACTGAGCAAGGAAAGGTTGAGAATCAGCGGGAGGTTAGAATTCTAGGAAACCTCCTGAGTGTACAGGACACCTTGGGCATCAGCCATCCTGGTCACAGCAGACAGCCACGGTGGGACCACAGAGGACAGCTCATTCCAGTGGGCAGAGTTACCACTTCGTGCCTTTACTGAGGCGTCTTTATGAACAGAATGATCCCAGGTGGCTTTTTCTCCTGATAACCCTCCCAGAACTGCCAGGGGTCGGCTGCGTTGCTGCTCTACCTCAGAAATGGCTTTCGGAAGCGCCTCACGCAGCTTCCTTTTACTTTCCTGAAAAATTAAAAGCTCTTTGACTCCCTGGCTCGTTTCTGCTGCTGCCTCCAACTCTTTGATGTGTTAACTGTTGTCCTTCACACTCCCGGGATAAAGAATTACTACTACCTTAATCTCCAACTGTCAATAGCTCTGAAGCAAAGTACATTCATTGTAAGCTCTCCAAATGTCAGAGCAAACCCGTGTTATGTGTTTAGCCTTAGCATTTGGCATTTACTCTTCCAGCTAACAAGTATGCACAGTCCTTGGGCTCCAGACACCAAAGTGCATGTTAATTACCGGAGTGACAGGGCTCCTGCTCGGAGCTGGGCCAGCTCTAGATGTTTCTATTCAGGGTAATGATGAAACCTCTCTGCAGTTTGGCATGAGCAGAATAAATCTGATTTTTTAATACCTTCTGTAAAATCAAGTCTCACCCATCCTTCCTGTCATTATGTATTGTATTTAAAAAAAAAAAACCCTCTTCATTAATCCTTAATCTCTCTCTCTCTCTCTTTCTCTTTTCTTTGACATTTCTGTGGTCTAGGTTACCCGAATTTTGTTGCAACGTATGGCCGAGGATATCCTGGATTTGCCCCAAGTTACAGTTATCAGTTCCCAGGTATGTACATTTCATTTGCAAATTTACTTTATTTCCCCTCTTTCCTTCTTTTTTTTTGTTTGTTTGTTTGTTTTCTTTTTTTCCTTTTTATTTAAATCCGTAGCTGCAAGCTGAGACAGGCAAGTCTGCAGGGAGCATCTCACACGACAGCAAATTTTTTTTTTGTACTATTTTAAAATAGATATTTACAGAGACATATTTTAAGTACATTTTTCCTAGCGTGTAAATTGGTACTGGTTATTTGAAAACAAACTTCTTAAATTAAAACATAAAGCAAGAGAGATCATTGAAGAGCTGTTACCCTCCCTTTGATGGGTTTTTCCTTTCATATATATTATAGAGCTACACACAGACACGCACACAGAGACCCGCACACACCTTCCCGTGCTGTCCTGTGGTAAGTGAATATTCAGCTTTGGAGTGAAAAGTCCAACCTTCCTGTGTTCTGTGTCGGGGTCTCGGGGGTCCTTCACAGGAGTAGTTTTGATGTGTTGATGGTGGAGTTTGGCGTTGGTTGGTTCCCCCTTTCCTTGGCGTAGCTGCCGCCGCAGTGGGCCAGGACCAGGGTGGCTGGATCAGGAGAAAATAAATCATAGATTCACAGAATAGAGTGGTTTGGGTTGGAAGGGACCTTCAAAGGCCGTCTAGTCCAACCCCCTCGCAATGAGCAGGGACATCTTCCACTAGATCAGGTTGTGCCGAGTCATGTCCAGCCTTGACCTTGAACACTTCCAGGGATGGGGCGTCCAGCAAAGCCCATCCAAAACCCCTTGTCCATTCCAGCACATCCACAGTGGGACTGACACCACGCAGGACAGGGAGTTCCTTTTCCTTTCACACTGGGGTTTTCCCAGCAGCTCAAACAAGCCCAGCAGCACTGCTGTGTTTGTGGCTGACACCCCATCTGGCCACTGTGAGACCCCAGCAGGCCTTGCCTTAAATTCCTGAGCACCCTCATCACAGGGGCTCACGTGCTGCAGCCCCACCACCTCCTGCCACGCTCCTCGGGGCTCAGAACAACAGGGTGGGAGCTTGGGGTAATGAGGAAACCAAATGAACCCCCTGTAGTGAGCAACAGCAGGGCAGGAGGAAAAACAGCATGCTCATGGGAATGTCCTCTAGGATGGGTGAGCATGTGGATGGATGCTTGACTCTGCCTGCAGCTGGATTGGAGGATGGGGCAGACACAGAGCCTTGTGTCTGGCCCTAGGTCATTAGAATGAGACCCTGCTTTGGGAGAATATGGATTGTCATGGTCTGTAGGACGAACAGTGTCCTTGGGATGGGGCTTTTGTGCAGCTGGTTTTTGCAGGACTGATAACACCAAGGGTAGCAGTGCTGTGAGGGTTTATTTTTTTGAATTCTACCAAAAACTCAGCTGTTTCTTCCCACCTGTGCTACACCCTCCCGGGCCAGACCTGAAACAAGCAGCGTGTCAGTGGAGCTGCTGGGGTGACATACTGGGCAGGGAGGGCCAGCAGCAATGGGTGGGTGACACAGTGCTAGTGGGGACAAGGCAGGCAACCCCCTGGAGACCCCACCACTGCTCCACTGGAGCCAGTGGGAGAGTCCAGTCCCGCAGGATTGCAGTCAGGAGTTGGATGTGAGGAGGAGGCCTCAGCGGGCGCTGGTGTGTTGTCTCACACTCTCCTCCCGGCCCTCACGATTCCATGTGGCAACTGATACGTATGAAGGCACTGAATGAGAGACTCCTTTGATAGGTTTAATGATGGAAATCAGCAGAGCTTAGATGAGTTTAATTATAAACATGTCTAAAACAAACATGTCTACTGCCTGGCAGCAAAGGCACCCTTCAACTCGAGCCCTCCTTAGATATATTTTCGTTAAGGGCCTTGTTTTTCCAAAGCAGGCCTTCCTGTTACTGCCTGGTTATTTTCAGTCTCCTGCAGAGATGGAATATGGAGAAAAAGATCCAAGTGGGTTGTCAGCACTAAAAAGGTGCCCCAGCTGTGGGCCATGGTGAGCCTGCGGGAGCCGGGCAGTGCTGGGAGATGCTCAGGGTCCTGTCTCACCTTGTTGGGTTTCCCTGCCCCAAAGCTCTGCCCCTGCTCCACTCCCACTCAGACCATTCTTCCTTAGCAGCAATCAGAACCTTATCAGAGTTATTGGGGGGTTCTTAGATGATTTGGGGCTCCAGTCTCCAGGAACAACACCCGTCAGAGCGGCGCAGGGCTTGGGAGCCTCCTGGCCAGAGGTGCGACATGAGGGGTCAGGGACCAGGCAGCAGGATGGGATGTCCCCCTCGCTGGAGCAAGTGTCTGGGGACAGAGAGCCCAGTGCCAGGGGAGCACAGCTCAGTGCCAGGGTGCCATTTGGGAGCAGGGCAGGAGTTGAGGTGGTGACCCTTCACGTGTTTTGGCACTTGCAGAAGTGCCTGTGGGGCTCGTGGCTTGGAGTGTGGGACAGGCACGTGCAAAACGATGGAGGGGAATCCAAAATCTACTTTTTTGTAAGTTGTCAGGTCCAAAATCTCAGTGCTGTGATTTGGAGAGAGAAATTCTCAGCTGTTTCTGCAGGAGCATCCTGGGCTGTTGGTCTGAGAGCTTCCTCTGCCTCCCGGCTCCGCGACACCCAAACGTGGTGGTGGTCAATGTAAATGTGCATGTAAATGTACAGTCACACTCCTGGGGTTCCTCTGGGAGGAGGAACTGTACTGTTTCACACAGTACAGTCGTGTTCTCCTGCACGTGCCCGTCCCCATGTGCTGGGCAGGGGGGCCGGGCTGACACGGGCACTGTCCCGCTGGGCTGTTGGTCTGTCCCGGCACAGGTTACACTACCTAGCTACTATTTCAACAAATGAAAACCAAAAAAGGGAATTCCCACCTGGTTGAACTGTCCTGATGGTATTTACTGTTGTCCAGATGAAATGAGGTACAAATGCCACACCCCAGCTGTTTGCATTCCCTTTCCCATGTCCGTGGCAGACACGGTGCTGCTGGAGCTGCGGGCAGGGTCCCCTCACAGGCTGTCCCACATCCTCTCCCACATCTCCCATTTCCTATGGCATGGGACAGCCCCTGACTCCACGGACAAGACATGTGCAACCCTTTGGTGACTGCTCTGTCCCCTCTCATCCCGTTATTCCCTCCATCCCTTCCTCACACAGTACGTTGCCTCTTTTATTTTAATTGCAATCACTCCCTTTCTGTGTCTCTTTTTTATTTTTTATTTTTTTTTTATTTCTGGGACTTATCTTTTCAGTTTAATCTATTAATTTCTGTTCTTATTTCACTTTGCAGACTATTTGCCGATTTCACAAGACATAATTTTTATCAACTAGTTCTTAAAGATGCATAACAAATTAATCGGGGTTTACTACAGTGCTAATGAGAGAGAGACAGAGAAAGCCTGGGTGGTCCATGTTTAATATCAATGTCCACTGAAAAATTGCTGCTCTTACTGGCTGGTTTGATTGACTGGACTTTTTATTTTATTTTTATTTTTTTAAAGGCTCCATATCCTCACTGCTTTGAGTTTGCTTTTTAATTTTTTTTATTATTTTTTTCCCTCTGCTTTGTTATGAGTTTTTAATGCCCACTTGGAATGTAACTCACAAGGATGGGGTCAGGGGCGTTCCGAAGGCATGACTTCTCACAAACTTCTTAGAAATCGTTTTATCAATGAAGTAGGAAGGGTGATTGGGTTGATTTGATCTCACAAACAGCCCCAGAGAGAGCGATTGGTGCTTTTTAACATGGGGACATCCAGCAGTAGCACAAACCATATCCAGGGTGGAGCAAGAAGGGTGTCTCCTGTCCCTGGGATCACTGGCAGCCCAGGGTGTGATTATTCCAATTGGGTGACCCGATGGCTCTCACGGACCACACGTGTCCTCATTCCGTTCCCTTTGGATCGGTGGCTCTTGGAGAGCTGCCACAGTCACACAAAGGCCACGGCGAGATGCCACCAAGAGAGGGGCTGAGGCAGTTCCTGCCCCCCCAGCAATTCCTGCCCCACTCCCAGAGCCCGTGGAGCTCTGAGCAACCTGGTCTAGTGGAAGGTGTCCCTGCCCTTGGAACGAGATGAGCTTTAAGGTCCCTTCCAACCCAAACCGTTCTGGGATTCTGTGATCCCAAACTCCGACCGCCCCTGCCCCGCAGCCGGCCATGCTCCTGCACACTCCTGCACCCGCTTCTCCTTCCAAACTTTGCTTGCAAATCGTGGGGGAATCTCCTAAATTCTGACCAAGCTTTCCCTGCTTAAGCTGCATCGCTCCTCTTCATCTCCACCCAAATCGCAGGAGAGCTGCAAAGCTCCTGCCATTGGCTTTAACGAGACCAGATTCTGGACTTTTGGGTAGAAAACACACATTATATTTAAATTCTGCTTCTCTTGAAATGTTTCTGCCCATTTGATAAGTTTGTGAGAAGTACGTTGCATGCTTACAGTAGAACTGTAATGCATTTTAATGTTTGTTAATCCACTTGTTTAAAATGTCAGTGTCAAAGGCTCTACAATCCACGGCTGTGCTGTTCATTTCATTAAAGATGCTTGATGTAATAATTGGGTAGTTTTCTTTTGACTTTTCTGCAGGCAATAGCTTTTTTTAATCTGTATGGCTTCTTATTATTTTGTTTGGGTTTTTTTGCTATGAATTGCTTTGCTTTTGTGAACTTGTCTTAGTGTGCATGATTTGCAAACATTTCGGCTATTGTGAATTTTCTCATTTTTTGTAAATAGTCCATCTGTGCTTTTCTTTTTTTTTTTTTCTTTTTTATGACTTTTTTTCCTGTAAGTAACTGAGGTAGAAAATAATAATAAATTGTTTACAACGGATCTGCTGTGTTGCTGCTCTCTTAGCTTGCAGTTTTAATATTTTGGTTTGGACGCCCCAAATAACCAGTACCAATGACAGTTGAATAAAAGAATAAAAACAACCATCACTCAGAGTGTGTGACCCGGTGTTTGAAGAACCTGCAGAGGAACAGTCACATATGAGGTGTGTTTACAGCAAAAATTACACCCCAAAAAAAAGAC